TGTATCACTCTAACACTTGGCCTAGAAATTAAACGATAATCTCGCCAATGAATTGCACAAAAATTTACAGTTGAGTTGTCTCATTTGCCTTCTTGATTGTTTATAATATGATTAAGAGAAACTGTATGGGAGTTTTCATTATCAAAGCCACAAACCTGATTAGGAAGTTGTAAATTGAGGGGTATGCTAGACAATAACACTGGAAAGAGACATATTACCATTAATCAATGACGGGCTCTACAAACTAATAAAAAAGATCCCGTCGAATATAGTACTACTTTTTCTAAATAAACACCACGCACAAATTAATTCTCGCCTTCTTGCGGAATAGTCCAATAAAATTCGCTGCTATTTGAGCTTTCAACACCAGCTGCGCCACACYAAGTGTTTGTAATAAAATTCACGTGTGCGGGAACCAAACATAAATACTTGAATTTTATTTAAACGAAATTACTACTTTCTAAATTTCGCTCAAATGCAAAAAGCAACAAAGTAACCAACAAGTGAAAATAAATACAGCGAWATGAAAAGTAAATATTATTTATTAGCACTGAGCAGACTTAAATATACAAAGGAGGCGATCGGGTGGTGKTGGACTTGGATAAGGTGCGCGGCTAAGCTACTGATTAGGTCGGACTGCTTGGCAAGTTGGTAGAATAATCGCTGAAAGAACTAAAGAACTGTCTAACTTTTCGAGCAAGTAAGTGGCAGTGAGACTCTATGTCGCTTCAGTGGGTGGAGGTTTAGCTTTTGTAGAGCAATTAGCTGCTGCACAGTTACCCGGCAGCGAATGAGGTGCGAATGATCGAAARCAATAAATTGAAGAATGTGTTGTTTGCGCGCGGATACCAAATGTAAATCAAAGCAAATAATCACACGGAGGCTGCGAGTTAAATGCGGGGTTTTGCTATGAGTAGCTCACACCACAAACACATACATACATAGGCATTTATGTGGGAGTCATAAAAATGCTCTGTTGTTTTAGCGCTTGGAACAATACGCCCAAAAGTGTTTTATTTCGTTTTAATTATTTTTCAATTTTAATTTTCCATATGAAAAACTAAACAAAAGTTGTTGAAAGATGCCCAATCATATATGCGCCAACGCTTGTAGCGAAGTTTATAYTTCTCCCTGTGTTTGTACAAATAGAATTATGATGCTGCCATTGATGAATGAATAATCGTTGTCATTATTATGATGCTAMATTTTTCATAAATTAAATTTGAATTTATAAGTTTACTCACGAAGTGTTTTGCAGCATTTTTGCTAGGCGGATTGTTTCCGAATTTGTAGTTTTGAGTAATTTTAGGAAATTTATTTCAGCTAAAGACCAAGAGTTTTTGTGTAGCCTTAAAATCGTACAACGTCAATGAGCGTAATAAATTTGAGTTAAAACTGTCTGAAATTTATTTTTAGATTTTAGATATTTTTAACGAGAAACGCACACATTTTTGATAGTATGTAAAATTAGCTTGAGTAGGCTTCAGTTGTTAGGCATAATATGTTTGTTTCTGACTAACTTATTATAATTTACTCTTTTCTYACTTGAAAACGTAGAACTTAAAGCTTCCGCTTACTTTTAATATAATGATATTTGCATGAA